TGTAAACAGTGTTGTTTGTTCCAGTATTGTCTTATTGCTCTGCGATTTTTGTAAATCCAATGCTTGAAGAGTGACGCAGGCATATTGTGGGTTTAGCTGGTCCTCCGGGTGCTGGGAAAAGTACTCTAGCTAATGCAGTAGTGCAACGTGTTAACAAATTATGGCCTGCTAAAGCTAATTCTTTTGATTCTCAAGTTAAGCCTCCAGATGTTGCCATAGTTCTTCCAATGGATGGGTTCCATTTATATCGTTCCCAGCTGGATGCAATGGAGGTTAATCTTCCTTAAAATTTGTTTCAGTTCATTGCTAAAATTTTTTGGAACGGTTCAAAAACTAACTGATGTTACTGTATTTTTAGAATCCAGAGGAAGCCCATGCAAGGAGAGGAGGTGAGCTCTAATGTTTGGGATTCACTAATTTGCAAAAAATTGTGACACTGGAAATTATTGATCTTCCATTGTTGAACCAGCTCCATGGACTTACAATCCGACACTACTGTTTAATTGTTTGAAGAATCTGAGGAATCAGGTTAGTAGTTATCAGTTCCCAAACCCAACAAGTTTTTTTTATTTTTTGATCTTAAACCCAACAAGTTTTTGGTTTGCCTTGAAAATGTATTCATCTATTTTCCATCTGTATGCACACATATACATCAATATGGATGGATAGATAGAGAATTTGAGGCAGAGGTATAGGATATGTAATTTTTTAGTATGCTACAATTGCATTTCATTCTTAACAGGAAAAATATTTCCCAGGGATCTGTTTATGCACCATCATTTGACCATGGTGTTGGTGATCCAGTTGAAGATGACATCTTTGTGAGCCTTCAGTAAGTACTTGTCTTCTTTCAGCTGCTGCCTGCTGGTGTAAACTGTTTATGGTGAATAGGTGACCTTTTACAGTGATATGATGGATGGTAATGGTCACCAAAGATAAAGTATAAAGGATACTTGGGATATGAACTGCATAGCAAGGGTACAATTTATGGGAAGCAATCCCTGTGAAATTAAAATACAGTATTACATGATGTATAAACCTTCCAAAACTTGAGACGTCATGTTACCATGGTGTGCAATTGCTTAATGGAAGATGTGCTAAGCTTATATTACCTCTTATGATATGAACAATAACTGTTTATCAATAAACTCTTACTGGTACAAGTAACTCCATTTCAAGTAGATTAGCACTGCCAGAAAGAACAATAAACAACAAGAATAATCACAGATGCACTTTGTTGTGTTGTCTAGATCTTGTAGTAGCACCTTTTGGTATATAAATAACTCTTGCAGAAGAAAAGCATATGCCTAATGGCAGATAATGAATCCTTTAGTACTTCTAGTCTCTATTTTATTTCTAAAAGCCATACAGCTTGTTTAAATATCTGTTTTTAAGATATAGATTGGAGGTTGATGGTTCCTTATCAGTTCATAGACTTCGTCATTTTGATTATTTACCTTAGTTTTCCTGTTTGAATAAATATAAGAAACTCAAAGTACCCTTAGAGTGTCTTTTCTTTACCCTGTTTAGAATTGGATTCATCAAAATATACTATCTGCATTATTTGCTGTAAAATTGATGAGGGAATTTTGGCTAAAAAAAAAAAGGATGAAATATGAAATCGAATTTTTGGTAAATGGCCTCTTGTGGGTGGATAGATTGCTCAGAGATTAGAAAAAACTTGAAAACTTAGTGGAAAATAAGATAATTCCTGTTGATTGAACTGAGACAGGGCATTAACCTGATGACACGTATGGGAAACACAAATCATTTATTTGCTAAAATTTGGTTTTATGTTCATCTTGTGATTTCTATTTTACATTTTGGCTGTGGTTAATTTCATCTAAGGGATTCGTTCTACCAAGATAGTTGCAATTGTCCATAGGTTGAATTCCAGCTGAGTACTAATAAAACATCTTATTCTTTTTCTTTGCAGGCATAAGGTGGTTATTGTAGAAGGAAATTATCTGTGTTTAGAAGAAGGGGTTTGGAAGGATGTATCATCTATTTTTGATGAGAAGTGGTAAGGATTAAGTTGCAAGTTAGAAACTAATGAACTTAGGTTAACTTTTGTAGCATAGCATCACAGGTTTACCATTAGATCTAGTATTTATACTATAAACATGGTGCCATTTCAGCTAAATATAAATAAATAAATAAATAAAAACAAACAAACAAACAGGGAAAATGAAATTCGCTTAGAACTTAAAATCTTACTTTCACTTTTCTCAGTTTCTGTTTCACAGGGTGGTATGTTCTGATTTCAACAATTTTTTGAAAACTGTGATACTTTATGAGTTAGATTTTTTCCTTGAGACCAGCATACAAAGAACATATTGCATGTTGGTTTAGATGATTATTTTCTTACTATAGAACTTAGAAAGGAGAAAATGTACACTGTCTTTTCATTTGCTGTTCTTGTTCCTCTTAACCATAGGCAGATAAAAATAGTTTGTGTTAAAGTTTACAAGATTTGAGTTGCCCTCTCTTAATATTCACTTCATTTCGTCCATTTTTCCATAGTATGTTATCAACTAAAAGTTCTTTCATCTTGGATTTAACAATTATCTCCAAGTGCCATAGTCTGCATGTGATTGATCCAAGATGCAACGCATTAGACTCTTATCACATTCTAGTTTCTGGAGAATTTTATTTTTGGCTGAATCTCTATTATCTTTTAGATCGATAGTTTTTCCATTTTCTTTTCTATTGTGAGCCGTAAGACTATTGGGAGCTAAGGGTGATGGCTGGTTCCAAGTTGTTATGACTAGATTGTGTAGTTAATTAGCTCAGCTGGAGTCCTGTTTCTAATGAACTAGTTCTTTCCTCTGCTGAAGACAGTTGTATGTGATTTATGATCAAATATCAAAAATGTAAATAGCCAACTTGATTTTCCATTTTCCTGCTGGAACTTCAAGTTTTGATTTCTTGATGACAGTCATAACCTTCTTTCTATGTTTGCACTTCCCTTCAAGGTTCATTGATGTTGACCTTGACAAAGCAATGCAACGGGTTTTGAAAAGGCATATTTCCACTGGTATGCTATCCTTTTGGATTTTTAACAATCTACCGCTCTTAAACATGCATATGGAAAAATTTATGCATTCATGACTTTATTTTTTTCTGCTTCACAACAGGAAAGCCCCCTGATATTGCTCAGTGGAGGGTAAGTCTGACTGTTCTGAGTCTTAATGTTGTCTTAACAGACACAAGTTCCTTTCTAGCCAAGTTTTCATGACCCTATTGTTTTTGTCCTGCAGATAGACTACAATGACGGACCCAATGCAGAACTTATCATGAAGTCAAAGAAAAATGCGGATCTAGTAATCAAGTCCATTGACTTCTGAGGGAAATTCCACTTCGTATGGGAGGCAGAGGAAAGGTCAGTTGATTGTAATTCACTCATTTGCATTGATTGAAACATAGCACCCCCTTCAGGACTTCATGTTGATTTTTTTTGGGTACATAAATCATGTTGGCTTAAATAATGGGGACATCGAACATGAATATTATCAGAAGCGTCGCTTTGAGAACCAAATTTCTATCCATAACTTCGAAAACTTTCCTGCTAATATGGATCATGGATTATTGCTATAAATGTTATTATGAACCCTTATAGCACCTATTGGTCATGTCATGAGGAAAGAAGTTAATTAAACAAGGCCATGTTATGTGCTGTTGACTGCTTCAAGGTAAGTTGTGAATGAGATCTGATCGATTCAGCAGTTGACAGGGTTGATTACTATTTACTTGCGCTAGAAGTTTTCTGTAGGTCACACAAGAAAACCGTGTGCTTTCATAATTTGATCCCCAATTTCAGCACCCTGTCAGAAATAAATGCTCAGGTACTCCTTTCCCTGCTTCTTCGTGAATAAATAAATAAACATGCAGATACGATCCTTCGTCTATCATTCAATCTAATTTTCATTGCCTTTCCAAATCTTTCCTTAATCGTAAATACAGTCGAAATTTAAGACCTCGTAAGTCGTAAGTACACGGTTTAAAGCTGTTAACTGTTGGGATATGAACGTTTATCAGTTTTTGCTAGAGGGATCATGTTATGCTTATACAAAATACTATAATTGTGTTTAATTTATCTAATTTTATCGATTCATAACTATTAAAATGCTTAAAATTATTAGATTGTAGGTTGATTTTAAATTGTTAAACAATAGATATTGTTTTATTTGTTATTATCTGAGAGTTATAGTTATCAGTTATAAGATATTTTTTGTATGATGTTAACAATTTCTGTGTGGCCTAACCATGGCCTGCTAAAGCTACTAGTCTTCTCTCTATACATCATCGAGTCGATGGATCTTTTCCAAGAATTATGCCTGTACCTGTTTAAGCTCTAAAACTCCGTTCTCCATTTCCCTCCTGCAAAGTTTAAAAAATTTACAGTTTTCCATTAATGGAATGCATGAACATCGGCATTGTCAGTGTCAGAGAGAAATTAATTAGTTGATCATTTAAGTCCACAAATTCCGGACCATCAATGCAATGGACTAGCAGGAGAGGGAGGGGCCACAGTTACATCAGGTTAAATTCTCACCGCCATGAACCACTACAATCAGGGAACGTATTGAACAGCTTTCTCAGAAGTTATAAACTCTTCTAAAATAAGCAATCCATATTTGATGTGACTTTAATTTTTACGGAAAAAATTGTCCCCCCAATTATAAAATAATTTTTACTTTCGATAATTTGTTGATTTAAATAAAAATAATTTAATTTTTATTAAATAAAATATTAAATTTAAATTTTTTAAATAATTTTTTTCTTTTAATTTATACTCTAACGCAACAATGTGATTTCCAGATATGGAGATTAGTATAAATAAATAATAACTCTTGCTGCTTCAACACAAAAACTATTCTATTGCAACCATTATACCGAGAATCTATTAACTCTCAGCCTCAGCTCAACAAACCATCAGAACGTTACTGAGCTCTAAATTTCTTTTTATCTCGCACTATTGACATAGGCCAACCAAACAAAACCTAAGATCCTATTTCAATTGAATTTATCTTTATTCTAGTAGGGTACGTGTGAACATGCATATTAAACATTTGGAGACAGCAAACTAAAAAATTTAGCTGACCTAATCAAAGAGGCATATGAATAAATGCCCCCACATCACGGCACATGACCCTGTTCCCTCCCTTCGACATATCAAAATCTCATTTAATTCTTCTTCACTCTTCATAAAATGTAAAGAATATAAAAGAATTTCATTGACTAGGAGAACCAGAGATTATTAAATTAAAAAAAAAAAAAATTTCAGGAACAAAATTAAACAAAGCACACAATAACCACTACTACTACAAATATTTGAGGGTACATTTTAATTGTTTACAGCACGCCCTTAATACCAGTAATTAAACCAGACAAATTAGACGACACATACAGCATGAGACAACAAGTCTTTCGGGACATAAGATTTTATTATTTATTGTTGTTGTCTGTAATAACTGATAAAAATATAGGAACAGCGTAAACCACACCCTAACGACCTGCTCAATTCATCTTTGCGCCTCCCTTTTTTTTCTCTGTCTATAGCGACGACAAGATCAACGGAGCAGGTTGTCGTGACGACCACATCGACGACGACGACGACGACGACGCGGCTTAATTAGTTCTGTTCTTGCATTTCTCCATGGCTCTTGGTGCTGAAAGTGAATCCATAAAAGAAAATTAAGAACAAGGATGTTAAATGCTAAAAGGCAAATTTATGTTATTGAGGATCTAGTACAGTAATTAATGATTGATGGCCGTAGCCATGTTTGTATTCTAAATTATATCTCTTTTTGTTTAAATTAGAGATTTCGAGCTTAAAATTTTATACGGAACTAGAACAAAGAATTGTTTGGTTAAACCCCACAAAAATGGATCAAGAAGAAAGGAAAGATGAAATTAACAGGATGAAAAGATACTAACCAAGCCCAATTGCCTCAGTGCCTTTCATGATGCGCAGCCTCTTGCATGATTCAACAAACATCCTGCAGGATATATCAAAATGGAAATTTTATTACTTTTAATAAATCAACACCTATGATTACCACAAAAAATAAAAAAAAATCAAGAGCTATAAATTGCAAATTGTTTGATTTAAGATACTAAAAATGATGTAGAAGTTGTAGTGTATGTATATATTTACACACACATACAAAAAAATATTTTTCAAATCAAATTACACTGGATGTTAAAATTATTAAAATATTATTAATAAAACTATTCTTTATAACATTTATTAATAATAATTTATTATTAAAAAAAAAAAAAACACATGAAGCTCATGTATGTATATATACATAGGAGAAAAAGGAGAAATTTATATATACTTACTCCCAGGGGACATCGCCGACAAGCATCCAATCCCCATCCTTGTCCTCATAGGTGGCCACATAATCAGAGCCATTAAGGAGATCCATCAGCTTGCTCTCATTCATAAAATCCTTCATCCCCTGGGATCCACAATTCCCTGAAACATACTCCAACCATTTTCAAATTTATATATTTCTATCTAAAAAATTCTGAAATAGTTGTCTCTTTACTTTTTGCTAGTTGACTTAGGAGAAGCCTTTGTAGTATCATTTGATTGGTGTCTGAGTTTTTCTTTTTTAAATTTACATTTGAGTTGGGTTTTTTATATATTCTATCCTGTATGAACTATAAACACTTCAGTTTTATGATAATTGAAGTCCATAAGAACCCCACTAATAATGGAGTTGAGATGTTTGTAATCTATGTAAAATAAATTGCAAAACACTTTTCTATTTACATTTATAGAGGAAAAAAAAAAAGGAAAACAAAAGTGAATATTTACGAATGTAAGTACATATGTACATACCAATGGTGAAAGAGCTAAACATTTTGCCCAAGGCATCATAGAGGTCCTGGTAAGTCTTGTACATCCTCAAGTCCACTTTACGGAGGTAAGGTGCTCCGTCCATACTCACCTTAACAAAGGCAGCGCCCTTGTCACTCTCATCGCTCATGCTCTTCTGGGTGGCCATGATGTTCTTCCGGAACGACCGGACTGGTGGCCAACCCACCACCTGTGCCCTAACCGGAGAAAGGAAAATTTGGATATTTATTAATTAAGAGGGGGGAGAGAAAAACCCATGAAAGTTGAGTTTTGTATCCCACCCTAAAATTCATGAATTGAAATTAAAGGGCTTCAAAACATTATAAAATAAAAGCATAGGGATGTTCATGGTTCAAAACTCAACACATCAGGTAATGTTGATATATATATCAAAAAATTCAAGAGAAAATTAATTATATTTATTTTCATTTCTGCATATATATATTTTTTAAATTGGGAAAACAAATATTTGATATTATGTTTGGCCACTTGAACATCCTAGGAAAACTCATGTTTTTGTTTTTGGTCTTTTAAGGAAAGGAAAGAATAAATTTTTCAAACCACTACTGATTTCACAATCCAATGGCTGAAACTGTGATGGCACATTTTAGTAATATCATCTTAATCATCTTAATTGTTTAGACTATATATAAAATTAAATGGTTGATAATTTATGAAAGAATTACACATGTAAATGAATACTATTTTTTCATTAAATTTGCCACTTTTTTTTTCCCTGATTAATCCTTCATGACTTTCCTTCAAGATATAATTTTAATTTTTCTCCAACTCCACATCAAACAACTATGATAGAATAATTCATAGAAGCCTATTTCACATGTAAAATATAGAGTATACGTATAAAAAAAACCCTAGCAAATACACTAATTTTGTGGTAGCAAATATTTCCCTAAAAATTAAGAAAAACACTGACAAAATTTTTTTTTTTGAAAAAAAAGAAGAAGAAAAAGATAGAGAAAAAAGAAGCATGCAACTTACTTAGCCGGAGGCTTGGCCGGATCAGCAGCAGAAGGAAGAAGATTCTTCTCCTTCTGCACAGCCTTCACCTTCTCATCCAGATCCACCACACCACCACCACCACTATCTTTTGATGACAGATTCAGCTTCAAATCCACCGTCTCAGAGAACCCTCTCTTCCTCACCACCTCCCCTTCTCCACCACCACCACCACCACCACCATTCCCTGGCAACCCCAGCCTCAGCTCAGTCTCCTCAAACTCCATCTTCTCTCCCCCCTACCCAATCTTCAACCAATCCCAAAAACCACTAAAACCCACTTTTCCTCCCCCCAATCCTCAAAAATAATGTGGAAAGTAGTTCTGAGTTGGCGGTTTTTGATGATAGTATAATAGTAGAAAAGCAGTGATGATATGATAATAATAGAGACGTTAGAGAAGAAGGAAAATATTGGGCCGTGGGTGAGCATTAATACACGGACGGGTGCATGATATACTTGTCCATGGGTTTGACACGTGGCAGAATGATGAGCTGGATCCACCCGATCGAGTTCGCTGGGCCATGGTGACGCAGGTTGATGATGGCACCAGTGTCCAGGTCGCGTGGGCTGCTTAACCAATCTTAGCAAGCCCTGGCCCACTCATTTTATCTTTAATCCCCCACTTTTTTTGGTGTTTGATATAAATTCTGTCAATCATATAGTGGAAGAAAATTTTGTTTTAATTATTAAGGTGAAAATTGGGTTTATTTATTTTTATTAAGTTTTAGTTCATCAGTCTCAACTTAAATGGCACAAGCAGCCTTAGAGCGATGGCAATATGCGTTTAACATATTGACTTATATTAAGATTTAAATCTTTATTAAAACAGATAAGGTTTATTTAATTTGTGCCTTTAAA